CTTATAAAAATTATCAAGCGTATTTTAAGCTATATAATTAAAAACCAGAGTTTGAATGACGAAATGTTGGAGACATTTTTTGTGAAGCTGAACGAATACTAAATGGCAGACCGCTATTACCTGTGCGGGACGACGTCAAGGATTTCGACGTGTTAACCACAAACAAATTATTTTTATTGAGAGGTAACACTGGCATAGAGGACTTGAGAGCGGAACGAATACCTACGGTTAAAAGATGAAAACAAGCCAGGCACACAAATGATATATTTTGGAAAAGATGGTTAAAGGAGCACGATCTAACATCGCAAACTAGAGACAAGGGCAAAATGCTGTGCAGAAACTTAAAAGTTGGTGATGTGGTCATAGTAGCAGATAAATGTGCCACAGGTAGATGGCCTCTGGGAGTAATAGAAAATCTACTCTGCAGTGGTGATGGGCTGGTGAGAACAAGTTGTGGCATGTTGGTGAGAGATATTAGGAAGCTGTGTCTGCTGGAAGGTGCTGATGGCCGAGAGTCAGAGGATGAACCACTTGCCGATTTTCCTACCTAGAGCGTCAACCTGAGAAGGGTTGTGGGCATACTGCTGTAGGTCCTACAATTCTTAAAGGGTGCTTCGTCAGTGCGCAGTCCATCATACTTGGTGTGTGATTTTGTACATATGTTCACATTGTATATACTGAATTGGTACCACCTCTCATCTATCCGTTCGTAACTTTGTTTGTGTCCGGACGTCTTCCACTTGTATCAACCTGAGAAGGAATATAGGCGTACTTCTGTAAGTCCTACAGTTGTCCAAGAGTAGTTCGTCGAAGAAGAATCCACAACAACCGATGTACTGATTGTGCATATGTTTGTGTTAAATAATTGTGTGGATTCCAATTATTGTAATTGTTGGTTAATCTTGTTTTTGTCCGGACATTCTTCAACCTACAGTCGTCAACCTGAGAAGGGTAGCAAGCGTACTGGTATAAATCCTGCGATTCTACAAGGGAATTCCATCGAGACACGATCTGCGAGTTTGTGTGTACTGTTTGTATATATGTGTGGTGTGTCATATCAATTTGTATTTGGATCAATTGTGTTTTCTTGTTGTTTTCGTACCTTGTTGTTATTGCATAATTTTGTTAAAATTTTCGTCGTGATTACTTTTGAAGTTGTTTCGAGTCTTCTACAACCGTGGATGAAGTGATTGATGTTAGAGATAGCAGATGGGTCATATACGCCGGGAAGGCTATTGCTGAGAATGACATGCACACGGAGATAATGATTAGCTGTGATCCCACACGCCGGGGAGCGGGAGTGTAGACGGCTGAGGCTCGCATACGTCATCGTTACTAGGACTGAGGCAGAATGAGTGACAAGCGATTGCAGTGATAATTGGTAGTGAGTCGATAAGACGATATACGTGGAGTATCATGGGTTGGTGCTATGGTCACGTTGCATTCTGCAAGATTCATTCTAGCAAGTGGCGATTGTGTTGCAAGATGTCAAGAGGAGGCCTTTATCTGGAGGCGCAGGTAGTCATTGATGTGTGAGACTGTGCTGCAGGTATGCTTGTGGAGTGTTGGCTTTTCTGTTTGTTTTCCATTTCAGCTCTATCCGTGTGACCCAGATTCTCGCAATGGCATCCAAGTCAACGTGTATTGGTTGTGACAAAACAGTGGGACGGATTTCTTTTTTGGCGGGGAGTGTCGATGTAGTTGAAGATTGAACGATCAATTCATGGTTGTTTGCTCAATCCTTACATTATAATTTTTCAGGAGTCATGGATTATTCAGTCATCGTCTCATCGTTCTCTGTTCAGTGGAAGATAGAAAACCATCAAAAGTACTATCGTGATTTATTGTTATAACATTTATTCCTAGGCCTTGTGTGTAATAACCTTATTGTTGTTTACATATTGGCGTAAGAATAAAGCGTTCTCGAGTCGCCAATCTATGTTCTGGTTTTCGCGTTGGTTAATACGAAGCGTTTCCGAAAGTCTTCGAGGGACAGCGTGAGGTCCCGCGTAGTAAGAGCTGGACATCGACAGTTTCTTTGAGTTGGCTGGCAGACGCTTTCGTCTACGTATGAGTATACTAAGTCAAGATCGCGAAATACTTCCTCACTGAAGCGTGGAGACTTTGGTGCTGCATTCCGGAAACCAAATGTCATAGCTACATATTCAAAAACTCCAAAAGATCTCATGATGGTCTTCTTCGGAGTATCTTCATGTGCAGTCGCAACTTTGCCATATCCTCTAAATATTTGCACCAGGAGGTGTTGCGTCAAGCCATGTTTGTGAGGCAATAAATAGCAATCAGAGGTAGTTTGGACGTTCACCCGCCGACAATCACCAGTAGGTCGCAAAATGTTGCTGTCTTTTGGTACCATTGGTAGTGGGGACACCCATGAACTATTCGATGGCTGAATGATGTCAAGGGTGAGCATATGGCCGAACGTATTTCTCTCCAGTTGTAGTTAGTCAGGACCAAGTTGTCATGCTCAGCAGATCACGGGTTGTCCAGGGATTGTGATGCGATGCATAACACTGCCGGTTACATACGGCAGATTGTGAGGAGGCAGTTAAGTACTTGATCACTTGTCAACAGTCGACTGAAAGTTGGCGGAAAGATCGCCTCCTCATTTACCAGTGACAAGTTGTGACCAACATGGGTTATGCCTCTAGTATACAGTCCAATGGTACCGTCTATCAGTCGTTTTCGGCGTACATCTATGAGTAAATCATGATGGTTAAATAGGCACTTGCCTATGGTAGGCCTTGTAACGTCAGCAAGAGGTAAAATCCACTGAACAGGTTTGCGTAAACCTACGTTCAGGCAGATATATTCCCTACCAAAGGTTGTAACAGGTTTTCCATTCGCTGTCTGTAAGTCGAAGGTAGGCCCCTTCTGTTGATACACCTGTGTAGTAGTAAGGACGCTGACTTCGGCACCTGAGTCATCCAACAACGGGTTTTGTTGACTATGTCGCACATGTATAGTAGGCTACAGCTGCCGCCAACGCGTGCCGGCGGGATAGTTTACTATAGTCGTTGGGCCGTTGCCGAAAATGGAGTTGCATAACCCTAAAACTTCAGCATCCCTCCTCGAAGACTGTTCAGTGATTGAGCACATTTCTGTGATTGGCCATTGTGTTATTTTTAGAATTTTATCAGCAGAAGTGGCTAAATTACGAAATCTATTTCGCCGTAGTGCCCGACTGACTAGCTAGGACTCGTGCAACGATGAAAGTAACACCACGGCTTTCAAAATGGAATGGAAGCTTCATCATGAGTCTTCAGCTAAACAAGTCGACTTAAACAGTGAGGATAAGCATCCACCGTTCAGTGATGAATGCTGTAGCTTAAAGTTCTGGACAAATACCCACCACTACAGTAGATTTCCTCATTGATTACAGAGTGATGAAGGTCCAAGAACACAGGTGCGCAAAAATCATCTCCATCTGAGCTAAAATGTTCACTGCTAGTATTTATTTTTCCAGCACATTTACCTACTGCGTGGTAGTCAGAAGTGCACTGATCTAAAATTGCAACATGGTTGTGATCACCGAATCATAACACTGACAAAACGCCTTCAGTGAAGTCATGACATTAAAAGGTTAAAGTAAAGTGGTAGACAGCCGTAAGTACGCATTACATAAATTGGTTGAACACTAGTTAGTAACTAGTAGAATGTGTTCGGTCCTTTGTTTGGTGCAGACTGCCTTCTATCAGTCAAATCTGCAATGTGGCCACCACTCTACGCGGCTCTCCAACATGGAGCACTGTGAATTATTTAGTCCACTAACTAGTGTTCGGTCAGAAGTATCCAATTAAGTCCTACGGGGAGTCAGTCATGAGCCCAAATACCTCAGTGGCGACATCTCTAACTGCATCAGTGGCTGACGCGGGTAGGTATCTTGGTCGCAGATACACCTTGCTGATTGGTGAGTGCCAAGCGATTTAGGTCCAAAGCTTCCTGCCGATAGCCTCTAACCATCCATGACCAGCAATTCAAAGGGCACCATGATGGCAAGCCACTCAGCATGGTAGACTCATTGCAAACTTGACTGGTAGAATTCACTATGCAGCAGAGATAAGACTGGACACATCACGCAAGGTACAGTAAAAAATATATATATATATATATAAATCCACATTTATAAGAAGCATGTCACATGGTTGCTGAAATAAATGAGGCGCGTTCCTTCTAACCTGTGAGACAAAAATGGAAGTCTCTGAAACGTGTTATGTATTTGCATAACACATTTTGGACATTCTAATCACATACGTATTTGTCACAGAAATTTTTATAGAAGGCGGTAGAGCAGAAGTTGTTACAATGCAAATTCAGTTTTCTACACGTCTGGCGCACAGATAAGAAGTAGGGAGACGATGCAAGTATGTGGGGTGAGGAAAAGAAGGAAGATGGTGAGAATATTATTCAGTGAACTGAACTGCAGTTCTAAATTGGATTACCATGTTAGGTTCAAAGTGATAACAAATGAATTTTGAATACCCTAGAGAGGTTTAAGGAATTTTTATGGCCACGGCCTCAATTAATTTAGGTATTTGACCCAAATTTGCTTTATATACGAATTCTAAGGCATCATTGAAATCAATCTTGTCAAACGTCTTTATGATGTGCTTCGGTGTAGATTATTTCCGACATATATTTCCGGGATCAATCAGCTGGGTACAGTTGATTGTCTTCTGCACTGGTCGATTTTATATGAACGATGTCACTGCAGTGTTCTTAGGCACTTTTCAGAAAGTGAGAACGCTGTGTAGACATGCTTTGACTTACGATGGTCATTCCCCAAAATGGCAGTTTAGTAGTACTACCAATCATTCATTGTATACAAAAAAACACTAGACCGTTTGAAGAATATCGAAATTAAAAGAAAAATGAGTGGGAAAATTCGGAATATTTGATTCGTTTTTAGGGGTTAAGTATCAGTGGAGACAAATTATGACGTATAGGGTTGTTTATGTGTCTGTATATTACACCACCATGACAAGTAGTAAGGTTGCCTTCACACTGTAGAGATACTTCCAAATGATCAGTAACCTGAAATGAATACCTGACTTTGCATGATGAATCTGAATATCGTCAGTACTTCATCATTTTTACGTCCATTGTTGAACCTTCGGATATAAACTCTTTGTTTTGTTAAAGGGAATTTCAAGGACAGTTATTGATAATTTTTTAAATGAGTTTTTAGTAACCATGATAAAAAGAGACTCACAGTGTAACTTACTTTTCAAAAGTAAGCAATGGTAAAATATTCTTAGTTGGTTAGTTATTCTGATAGGAGATTCCGGTGTAGGCAAAACGAATTTGCGTTCACGCTTTACGAACGATGAGTTCAACCTGGAAAGCAAAAGCACAATCGGCGTTGACTTTGCCACAAAGTAAGGTGTAAAAACTTAATTCATCCACCTCAAGGAATGTTACAATTGACGGTAGGACTGTGAAGGCGCAAATATGGGATACTGCTGGTCAAGAAAGATATCGCGCTATAACTTCTGCGTACGTACGTTTCAGTCCATTAAAACTAGGATAATTTCACTAATACATAGCTCAGTGCATGTTTTTAATTGTTTTATGAATACTAAGTTTACATCTGATTCAGTTTAATTGTTAAAGTTCAATATACCCAAACCATTATTCACGACGAATATGTCTTAACACCATAATTGTCCCTCTGTTCGTCTTTTAACTACACTATCTTAGACTATGTTTGCGGTCAGATCTCACTATTTGGTTAATTAACAAATGCTGATGTTTAAAGTGTTCCTCAGTGACTTAAATTTAAGTAAGTAACTGTCTAGAAATTAAGCATCACAATGTTATTATTCTTACTGTAGATTGTGTACTCCTGGTTTGTTTGTCATCGGATTACCGCCCGATTGGTCTCTATTATAATTTTTCAACTTCTCACCGGCCTAAAGGTCAGCATACTGTTTCTTAGTCTGATTCATGCATATCTAGGAATAACATGCATGTAGTGCCTTCTGTCATAGTCATATTCCATTTCATGAGAACCGAGAAGTAATACAGTGCGATACATGTCTGTCAGTATGTTTATTTATTCATAGCTAGAATCCTTGACAGTTCACGCTAGCGTTTGCGGCACTTTTCGGAAATTAGTTTTAAAATGAAACAGATTTACAAGAAAAAATGTAGAGAAGCCATACTGATGGTATGCTTTGTACAAATGAGATAGATTATTTTACATAGATCAGTGATAAAATTTTATTGACTGGATGATGTTTCGAGCAAAATTTATTTACTAGTAACTATGTCTGTGTATTCACACTGAGTTTTATAAACTCATGTTTTAATGCATTTTCTTATATATTTGGGATAGAAACTGTATTTCTGTGATTCCACGTATTTGGTTAAATTTAATAGACAGAGACTGAGTGATCAACCTGTCCCTACACCTAACTGTGCTCCATTTTAATGTGCAGGTGCATGTATCTCAATGGCCTAGATTTTTTTAAATTACTTGGCTTACTGTGTTGAACCAGTCTAACTTCAGCTAGATACCCGTGTTTTGATTTTTAACTTAACAGACTGCCATCAGCTAGTTCGGCTTATATAATTGACGTAACTGTAGTTACATGGTTTTTGGTTAATTACGTTATTTTTGCCCAAATTTTCACATAGATTTCTTAAGCCAAATAAGTTTTTTTGAGTGAGGAAGTTAGTTTAATTGCTACCCTGAATGCTAACTTACTAGAAATGCTAATAAGGACCACTGATAACTTTTCCTTATATAGCAGTACTTTAGAAGCTCTGAAATCTTCATCATTTAGTATCTTTAGTATCGCTTTTATTGTTTACATCAGCACCCCTGTTTCTCCTATTGGTCTTAGTACACTTTGAACAAAATCTTGTGATTAATTGTTCATTACTGATATTTTCCTTATTTGTTTGATTTCACTATTTAAAACTTTTGACTTACTGATCAGTCTTCTGGCTCGATTGTATGGACTTAAAGCTAAACCCACCTTTACCACTTTTCAGTGGAATGATTTAAAGTTTGATTTCCTGTCAGAATATGGTGATTTCTTACGCATGCATGTATGTAATGCACCATCCTGTTTTGAGCTTATTTTACAGTCTCGCACAGCTAAATTATTTCGCTTACTATTCACCTCGGAAGTGGACCAGATTATATCTAGTGCGGAATTTACGCTGTAGAAAATGGAATCTGGAGTGTAAATGCATTTTGTATAATTGTGAGCAGCAATAAATCGTGCTCAAAATGTCATTCACTTTTTAATGATATTGTATCACTCAATATCATATCTAAGTAACTTCGCCGGTATGGAATCAAATACTTAATTGGAATAATAAACTCTGATCCATTGACTAAAATGAGGGTGTGTTTCTCTGACTACGTCTCATTTCATTCCAGACACTGAGTGCTTTACTTCTCATTTGCATTTATCTTTAAAAATTTGTTATAGTATGATTTTGGTAGGATAAAGATTCATCACATTGATAATTATATAACGATGGGTCGCTAAATCCCACATGGTCACTGTAACGTCGTCTATTTTAATCCATATGCTTAGAATAAACTGCCATTTAAGTTTTTGCTTGCTGAAAACAATGGAGAGCATGAAGAATTACCGAACTGAAACAACTTTATACGCATTTAAGTGAAATAATAAGAGTGAGTGAAGAGAAAATAACGTAGTCTTTAGTTAAGGAAAAGATTTCAGCTGATTGAGGCTGGGTATATTTGTACTTCAATCTTCAGGAAAGGAGGCGTGGATGCTTACGATTCTTCATCTTAACCTTCCTCGCACAACTACGGGACAGAAGCAGTGGCAGAGACAAAGTATGAATAACAGTTTGGTTATCGAAAACAAAATATGTATTAAGGGTAATTATTAGGGGTGTGGAGTCCCAGTGGCTGAATAGTCTATGAGCTTAGCTTATGACCGGAAGGTCGTGGGTTCGAAACCCGGTGGTTGCGTACTGCTAATAAATCCCAAACACCAGGACTAAGTAGCTATCCAATACTCCATAGCTTACAGTTTGTGCGTCGGTGGTTCCCGTAAAAATAAAAACCTCTGTCATCAAAACTTTAAAAGCTCCAACTCGAAGCCTTATGTTCCATTAGGAATGTAAAGTAGTAAAATAGTAAAAAAATATCGGGGTATGAGAAAATTACAGGAGTGTTGAAACAGGCAGCATCAAGTGAAAAATTCACCATAACATGGAAGATGAAAATCTATTTGGTAAAGCCTATTGATTGGAGGTTGTTTACAACTATGGAGCTTCAAACTGAACTTTTCAACCGCATTATAACAGGAGGCGATTCTGCATAACTTAGTATTTAGTATTTACTTGAAAGTTTCTCTAAAGAATGGTCGTTTTTCTTAAAATGTCATAATATTTTAAACAACGAATATATCTGTGCTATTAGTATTGATACAGCCTTGAACGTTTTCGTCGCTGAAATTGATCAACACTATTATTAAATGAATTTGAAATATATTTACATGGCTGACAAAAAGAAGCTTCGTAGTATACCATATCATTTATCTCACAAAAAGTCAACGTAGAGTAAAGTTTCCAATTTTCGGTTATATTTACTCACTAATTGTTGGAAAATATTTTATTTTATCATATTTGAATACGCTACTCCCAATAAATAACCAGCTAAGATTACTTTCTGGCCATAGTAACCACGTGCATGAATTGATCATTGAGTTTAAAGTCAAAATTCTCTATGGATGTAAAGTTGAATTATTCGTAATTGCCTACTTTGGATGACATGAGTATCTTTCAGTTGGTGAATGTATCTTAACAGATTTTGCCCCTCCCCCTCTATTTATTAGGCAAACAGTGAATAACGTATAATAAATTAAAGCTTTTAGTCTACTATGGATAGTCATCAGGGGTGACACGTCAAACTTGCTGTTTCTTTTCAGTTATTTTTTGTACTATAGAACATAATATTGATTATTATTTATTTCCTTTTGCTTTCTGAGTGGAACATAAGGCTTCGAACTTCAGCATTGCAGTTTCAGTAGCAGTGGTTGCATTTTACAGGGTTGGATTGCTGCCCCCCCACACACAAACACACCTAATCTTTCTTCTTTTCCAGGTTCTCCAGTTGCTAAGGGAGGTAAAGTTGTGCGCTAGCCCCGGGAGTTGAACCCCAGACCACATATATGGTTGACGAGCATTCTACCGCCGAATCACCGAAGCAACACAGGATGTAAAGACAATAGAATCGAAATAGTGAAACTCTCTTCCTTATTCAAAGTCGAGTTGTCATAAATCGTGCGATTTTTTATCGGCTCATCAAAACGTCTGTTTGTTCATGATGTTTAGACAAATAAAAAATGCAACAGAGTACTCTGTTTTTGGTGCTCTTCAAAGTGTGCACTCATGACACTGCCACAGGTTGAATCCAGAATCCTCAGGATTCCGAGGCAGCCTCGTTGGTCTTATCTCAGTCAGCGAGATGGAATCCAGCAGCCTATCACTTCTAATTTCCATCCATTCGCCATTTTAGCGGCACTGCCCTGCAATATCTTTGATGAATATTTATCTTCACGTCGAGCTCACTGGTCATGGCTTCTCAGCAGAACTCCCGGAATCTTTATCCTGTCGTCAGTTACTATTGAGCATAAGGTTAATTACCAAACATTGCCTTAAGGGGATCTCCGATTTGTTTCAAATTTGATCAAAGATTCATAGAATCGGAAGGTTCTGGGTTCTTTCCCAAGTGGTAGAGTCATGAATGCTTACTGATGAAGAGTTCCGCTAACTAGGACCAAACAGTTGCTCATTAATTCCTGCTGACGTTCATTGGTCAGACTTGGAAGAAATAAAATCTCTGCAGATTTAATTTTCAAGTACTGGAGAGTTGAAAATTTCATCATCAGCTGATATCAGTAAGGGAACCATTGAACTATTAATCAACCAGTGGGACTCGACCCAATGCTCCATGAATTCTAAGTCCTCCCAATTCACGACATGTATATATATGTCATGAAATATATTTGAAATATATTCTTTGATGAGTTACTGTCTCACCTTCAAAGTGCTGTCCCCTACTGGTCACGGCTTCCTACTGGAACCCCAGGTCACTGCCTGAATAGGACCAGTCGTTAGTGAGGTGAGCATCAAGTAGATTTTCAATTGTTGGTTCTATAGGGATTTTTTGTTCGCTTGATTTGTTTGGGGGGGGGTGTCTCATCATCCTGGGTTTAAACTCTGGTGATGGATGCGTACTGCTGAAGAGTCACAAACTAGAACGAAACAGATGTACAGTACTCCCAGTTTGTTTTCCAATGGTTTTCTAAATGGTGTCAACTCATGATAAAATCCTACAAAATCAATTATTTTGAAAACAATGTTTTGTTTGGCGTACTACTAGATATCGTGGCCAACATGCTACTGAACAGACACCATCTTTTTCTTGTATTTAGTTGATACTAGTCATTCAGTGAAAAAAACACACACACAAAAGCATTGAAGTGAGGGTGATTCATTGC